CGTGACCATCCCCCCTGGGGGGTGATTTCTCGCTTTCTGTCTCTCTGTCTCTGTCTGTCTGGCAAGCGCACGCGCCCTATAGCGAAAAAACCTCTCAAAAAAAAAAAAAAGAATTATTTATTTAATTTTATGTATTCATTTATTTATTTTAATTTAACCAGGCGGGGGTAGGGAGTGAGAAAGCAAGCCATCAAGTCTGGGACTCAAACAATGGTCAGCTATATTGGAGTGTCCAGTGCCTTAACCACCATACCACTTGCTGATCTCTAGGAAGGAGAAATTTTTACCAGAGTTTCTTTCTTTCTTTTCTTTCATCTCCTTTTCTTTTCTTTTCTTTTCTTTTTTTTTGTTATAGGGTACTTGACCTCACCAGAGAGAGAATGAGGGAAAGGGAAAGTGAGAAATCACCCCCCCCAAGGAGATAGTCACACTGCAATCTCTTCTCCTCCATTCTTCTCTCAGGATTTTGGGCATGCACACATGTCCAGCATAATTTACAAGCCACTGGGCCCAGGACTCGAACTGTGCAGCCAGCCAGGTCGGATCCTGTGCCTTAATCTTCGTGCCACCTGCTGGCCCTTTACCAGGGTTTCTAAGCTTGGAATGCTGGTGGCCTCTTTGCCACTATGTGGAAAGAACCAGCCTGAGAGTGAAGGTGACACAGAGAAGCAGAGGTGGTAAGGCCTCATGACTTCAGTCGCACTCTTGAAGCAGCTTTGCCTGAGAGGATCAGTTCCTGCACTGCTATGAGTTGCCTGTTTTGCTCGATTTTGGCTCACAATGCTGTGAATACTGACAAACACATCATGTGATCCAGGTGCCATGGCTACAATTACGGAATCAAGAACAAGTCCCCTAACCAAAGGCAACCGTTAGAAGATACCTTATCCTCCACTTATTTACATAGTGGAGAGGGAACTTCGGCTTCTAGTAGAAAAACTGCTAAATGAAAATGTCTGACTTCTTTCTTTTCTTCTCCTTTATAATTTTTAATCTATTAGGCTAGTCCTATAGCCTATAACTGACACTATAGCCTAGTAGTTAAAAGAGTCGGATCTCACATGGTCTGCCACGGTTCAAATCCTGGCCACGATGACTTAAGTAACACACCAGGCACATGTGTATCCCAAATCCCTGCAGGACACAGAAATGGAGAAGGGATTGTGCATGATTGTGCTCACGGTGGGTGGGGGGTGGGAGGGTGCTTTCTAAAGCTCTCCTGGTCTTTGGCAGGAACATATACCCTCTGGCAATTTAAGTGACAACAAGAACAACAACAAGTCGTTTTGTTTGTTTGTTTTTAATTCCAGAACATTGTCTTTCATTCTCTTTTTTGAATTACCAGAGGGTGTGTGTTTTTGCCAGAAAGACAAAGGAGGGTGGGAGGAGGAGACAGGGAGAAAAAAAAGGAGAAAACATCGCCCAATAGGGCATGGTTATGCTGCAGTCCCTTCTCTATTTCCCCATCCCACTGGGATTTCGGGCACACTCACCCAGAGACCAGTGATTCTCAAGCCACTGGGATCAGGATTTGAACCATGGTAGGCCATGTCAGATCTGGCTCCTTAACCATTAGGCTGTGGAGCCTGCCCCCAGAGCATTTTTTTTTTTTTTTTGGAGAGATTTTCACTGTAGGGCGCGTGCGCTCGCCAGACAGACAGAGAGAGACATAGAGACAGAAAGCGAGAAATCACCCCCCAGGGGGGATGGTCACGCCGCAATCCCTTCTCCTCCATTCTCCTCTCGGGATCTTGGGCACGCACGCACACGCGCCCGGCGTGAGTTTTAAGCCACCGGGTCCGGGACACGAACCGCGGTCGACTACGTGGGAGTCCAGCGACATAGCCATTACGCTAACTGCTGGTTCCCTACCCCCAGAACATTTTTATCACCCCCAAAAGAAATGCTGTTCTCACTAGCGGTGGCTCCCCTTTCTCTGTCCCACTAGTCTGCTTACTTTCTGTCTCTATGGATTTGCCTATTCCAGACATTTCTTAGAAATGGGGCCATATGATAAATGGCTTTGTGACTGGCTTCTTTCACTTAGCATAGTGCTTTATTTATTTATTTGGAGAGGTTTTTGCTATAGGGCACATGTGCTCGCCAGACAGACAGAGAGAGACAAGAGAGACAGAAAGCGAGAAATCACCCCCCAGGGGGGATGTCCATGCCACAATCCCTCCCCTCCATTCTCCTCTTGGGTTCTTGGGCACGCACACACACGTGCCCCGCACGAGTTCAAGCCACCGGGTCCAGGACTCGAACCGTGGTCGACCATGTGGGAGTCCAGCGACTTAGCCATTATGCTAACTGCTGGTCCCTTAGCATAGTGCTTTTGTGGTTCATCCATTCCTTTTTCTGGCAAAGTAGCTCCTAATCTAATTTCCTAGCCCCCCCCTTCCTCCATTTTTCATGACTCCTCTTTCACGTCCTATGGCGCTGCACTAACTGCTACCCCTTCTCCTGTAACACTCCACATTCATTGGATTTCCATTTCTTCCTCTTGTAATGGTTACACCGCCTCCACAGATCTCAGTCTGGCCATTCAGGCCTCTCACAAATGTCACTTCTTCATAAAGTGTCCCTTAGTGAGCTCCAAATCTCATAGGTCCAATTTCTCCTTCCTGGATCCCTTCTTTATTTCTATTGATGGTGCTTATTTTTTCTCCGTATTTATTTTTAACCCTCCTATGACCAGGTGACTGCCCTGAAGTCACCAACTGCTTTTTTATCCTTAGGCTAGTGCCTCGGACATAAATGCCCAACAAATATCTGTTTGCTTGCATGGAATTGCTGGCTCAGTGGTTCTAAACTGGGGGCAATGTCACCCCCCAGGGGACATTTAGAAACGTCTGGAGACATTTTTGGTTGTTCCAACTTGGGGAAGGGGGTGCAGCGTGCTACTGGCATCTAGTGGGTAGAAGCCAAGGATGCTGCTAAGCTCCCTGCAATGCACAGGACTCCCACCCCGACCATCCCCAACAGAACTGGCCTGCCCAAGGTGTCAATACTGCTGAGGTTGAGAAACCTTGCCATAAACTAATTAGTACTCCTGTTGAAAAGGTTAGCAAAAAGAAATCAGAAGAGATCAGTGTAGCAGTTTGGCAGGAAAATCACACTCGGAAATTCATGCCTTTTTCCCCCCCTTTCTTTTTTTAGGAGCTGGAGGTGACTTCAGTGCAAGGCTCTTTCCTAATACCATAGAGGTGCCCCGGGAGCACAGATGGTATTTTCACCACTTGTTCGCCTCTGAGCGTGGCAACTGACCTCTCAGGAATCCTTGATGTGCTAGGAATGTAACTCCGTTAAGGAAGAAAACTCCAGGCTTTTTAAGTCAAGCAAAATGTCAGACGTGGATTGTGCTCTTGGGGGAGGGCAGGCAAGGTGTTTTTTCTAAATAACCCTCCCCTGGCCTCCCCAGGATGGTGAAACTTCAGAGCTGGCTCTAGAATAAATGATTCAAAGGAACTTGAGGCCCTCTCTCCTCTCCTTTCCAAAAAAGTGCAAAGGAGCTTTGAGAAAGGATTCTGTTTGCAATGAGCTTGTGCTTCGGTGAGCAACTCATTTGCAGGAAATTCATTTGCTGGAAACCCAAGGCACTCGTATCACTTAACTGTAAAAACAGTCCCATCGGAGCAGAGGTTACCTACTGCAGAGTCATAGCTTATGTTCCTACTCACCCCATCCAACCGGTTCCTGTGACTGACACGGAATTTAGGTAATCTGTGCTCTGAAAATGAAAAGTAGGAGCAGTCTGAAGGAGTTTGATGAGACAAGGAATAGGGGGGTTGACATGCTATTTTTAAAAGTGTGACCTTGGGGTAGAATTACCTGACAGGTTGGCTGAGATTTGGTAGTGATGTGTGCACTCAAAACCCTTAGCCCAGCTGGCAGAAACCGAAATGCCTAGAAGATTCCAAGAGACACCACTCCTTCTGGACAATCTCCAATTCTTGTGCCATTAAAAAAAAAAAAAAAGGAATAGCAAGGTGCATTGGCCTTATTGAAAGTGCTATATCTTTTATCCAGCAAATGACCTTTCTTTGGTCTATATATGTGACAACATGCCACTCACTATGTGAAGGGATTTATTCAGTCCAATTTCGATAAAAAAGCCTTGAGGACAGAAACATATAGAGTACTTGGCACATTGTGAACTGCACAAGTGTTTAATGACAATAATTAGGGTAACGGAGTAATAGGCACTGAGTGGATGGTTGGCAGAACTTTAGGTATATTAGGAAAGTATTAAAAAGAGCCACTTCAAGAGTGAGATGGGAATCCCCAAAATAACTACAATCCTGTCAAAAACGAGTTGGAAAAAGACCAATGTTCCTGGATAATCTATATTCATGTTTCAATAAAACTAAAAATTATTGGGAACCAGCAGTTAGCGTCATGGCTGTGTCGCTGGACTCCCACGTAGTCGACCGCGGTTCGCGTCTCGGACTCGGTGGCTTAGATCTCACGCCGGGCGCGTGTGCGTGCGTGCCCAAGATCCCGAGAGGAGAATGGAGGAGAAGGGATTGCGGCATGACCATCCCCCCTGGGGGGTGATTTCTCGCTTTCTGTCTCTATGTCTCTGTCTGTCTGGCGAGCGCACGCGCCCTATAGCGAAAGCCTCTCAAAAAAAAAAAAAAAAAAAAAAAAAAAATTATTCCAAATTGGATGACTTGCCCCAAAGTTTGATTTCCTTTTGAGGTTTGTGAACTCATTTATTCAATCAATCTTATATTCCACAAACATTATTTTCTGGGGCTGACAGGTGTCTTTCTCATCCCCCTCCCCCAACCCCTCTCTGGTCAAATTTAAATAAATAAATAAAGTTAAATAAAATAATTATTTTTTAAAACATTATTTTCTTATATTATTTATGGTTCCTATTCCATTAATCATTCATCTATCCAACAGACATTTACAAACTTCCCTACTATGTGCCAGATATTACATTAGACTCTAATAATACAATGACACATGATCCTTGCCCTTGGGAAATGTAGATGGTAGTGAAATATTCATTCATTATTTGATTAATTCAAATAAGTATTTTTTGTGTGTGCCCATGTGTTCAGGGGATACAGGAACAATGAAAACCAGGATGCACAGATAATGGAATTACATTCCAGTGGGAAGAACAAGGTCAAATATCTTGAGGGAGCTATGAGCAGGATGGGAACTCGTTAGCCAAAGGGATATGGTACCAAATGGAGTGGAAGAGGTATGTCAGGGATAGATTATGCATCACTCCTGTGGGCCATGGTATTGCACCTGAATGTTTATATAAATGCATGCACACATACATGTAAAATAATAAGTACATGCATTTGATGATCTAATCTTGCCATTAGATTACAAAGGTCCCATTAGATTCAACTTGAGGGGGCCAGCAGGTGGCATGGTGGTTAAGGTACTGAGCACTCCCACATGGCTAACCAAGGATCGAGTCCCAGACCTGGTAGCATGCTTTCTCACTTTCTCTCTCTCTCTTTGTCTCTCTCTGGTCAAATTAAAACAAATATATAAATAAATAACAATTTTTTGGGGGGAGAGGTTTTATGCTACAGGGTGCTTGCACTCACCAGAGAGACAGAGAGAGACAGAGAGACAGAAAGCGAGAAATCACCCTCCAGGGGGGATGGCCGCGCCACAGTCCCTTCTCCAGTCCCCTCTCGGAATCTTGGGCATGCATGCACACATGCCCGGCATAAGTATAAGCCACCAAGTCCGGGACTCAAACCACGGTCGACTACATGGGAGTTCAGCGACATAACCATTACGATAACTGCTGGTCCCAATAAATAACAAATTTTTAAAAAGACTCAACCTGAATAATTTCAGAAGAAAGTTGCTAATAATAGCCAATATCCAGGCAAGGCTATATGATATCTTTGTTAGGGTGGAACTGAGTTTAAAAAAAGAAATAAAGAGCTGCTTTTCTTGATAAGGCTATTTTCCTGTCCAGAAGAGCTTCATCTTTACAAGCCTTTGGACTTCCACGCCCTCCCTGGCCCTCAAGCCAGAAGCTATGAGAAGATCTGGTTGGCCAAGAAAATTAAGATTTGGGATAAAGACATTTGGGGAATAGAACTTTTACTCCCAGCTTGGACAAACCATTAGCAAAGCATGGAACACTTAAGTGTGATATGTCTACAGTGCTATGCCTAATATCTCCATCAGTGTGCCCCTTCCTGCCTCACAGTGACATGTATGTATACTACAGAATAATGTGGAACCCTGATCCGGGTTCTTTCAGGATCATCCTGTTTAAGAGGATGGTGGGGCTATTTTTTAAAATAGCCTTTAAAAGATGCAGTTAAAACATGTGAGAAAACCCTCAAGCAGCTCAACCTGTAATTCTCAACAATTTACCCTAGGTCCCTCACCGGGGGAGTTCTCCTAGGTCCTGGATCTCAGGCAAGCAAGTCAAAAGCGACTACAACTTGTAGACTACAACTCCCAGGAAGTATTGCGTCCACGCGCTCTGCGCACGCTCGACCTCGGTGACTACATGGGGCAGGGAGCCCGAGGAGGTGGGGCTTTGGCTTGGGCCGCAAATTGTGGGCGGGACTAGAGGCGTGGCCAGGGAGGGGGCGGTGCTGCCGGCGCGGCCCGGAACACGCTAGTGGAGCGGAAGATGGCGGCGGCAGCGGCAGCTGCAGTTCAGATCCCAG